TCCGATCTCCCCAAAACCCCAAAACCCCGTGAACAGAATTTTTTTAAACTTCTTTGACTGAATCAATAATTTCGAAATAGTTAAAAGAGATAAGCTATTATCAAATTAAAATAATTTTAGAAAGCAAATCATTTTTTAGCTAATTACTCTGCGTATTGAATGTCAACATAAACTGGAGTTTATTCAAATTATTAAAATACAACAGACGAGCAAGTAAATGAGGTTTGGATTCTTGTGTCAGCTGCTTTTATATTATTGATGCAAATAGGAACAGGCCTTTTTAATGCAGGAAGTTCCTAATAGAAAAGCCATTAGAGTATATTCGCAATGAAATTGTTTGAGGCCTGCCTAGGCACTATAGGCTTCTGGTTATTTGGTTATGGCTTAGCTTTTGGGAAAGTTAGGAAATACTATGGAGATGACTCAGATTACTTTGTTTCAAGGGGTTTTGAAAAAGTATCAGAGGACAATTACACACTATTCATGTTTCAAGTTGCTTTCTCTTTAGCTTCAACAACCATGATATCTGGTAGTATGGCTGAGAGAGCACAGCTTCCCTAATAAATACTTTTTACTTTTCTTGAATAATCATTTATTTACCCTGTAGTTATTGCTTGGGTGTGGGGAGGAGGATGGCTTGCTCAAAATGGTTATCATGATTTTGCTGGGAGTGGATGTATTCATGTCCTAGGAGGTACTTGTGCACTAGTAGGATCCGCTGTGCTCGGACCACGTCTTAATCGATTCAAAATTTATACAATTGATGATCTAATTTAAAAAGAAAAGAATCTTATGGATGATACTCTTCAAGCAAATCCAATAATTAAGTTTAAGCCTGCTAAATTAACCAAGAAAAAACAGAAGCTTAATGATTCATACTTCGAAAATGGTCACATAGTTCATATAATGAGGTCACTAAGCGATAAAAATAAACAAAGATTTAAAAAATGGATTCTCGATTACAAGTTTAATTTTACTCCAAGCAACACAGCTTATTTGACACTTGGAACCTTTATAAATTGGATAGGATGGTTATTCTTTAATGCAGGTAGTACACTTTCAGTTCAAACAATGAGAAATAGTGGACCTTCAAAAATAATGTTCAACACTATACTTGCATCATCTGTGTCAGGACTAGTAGTTGTCTTTTTGAAGCCCCATTTCTTAAGAAATTATACAAAGCTTTATTAATATGATGTTGGCTAATTTTGTAATGGAATCTGCGCAGGTCTCATTAGTATCACTGCACCATGTGATTGCGTAGAACCTTGGGCAGCAATTTTGATTGGATTTATCGGTGGCCTTTTCTTCATTTTTGGAAGTATGATCTTGATTGCCTTTAAAGTTGATGACCCAGTAGATGCTATTCCGTGCCATTTTTTCGCAGGCATATGGGGTGTATTAGCTGTTGGTATTTTTCATAGAGAAACTGGATTGGTAAATTCTGAGTATGCTGAGAGATTTCACTTTTTAGGTTGGTAAATTGCTTCTTTACTATCTATTATTGCATGGGCTGGTGGAATAAGTTTAATTTATTTCTTAATAGCTAGAAGATTAAAACTTCTCAGGGTCCATCCATTGGTTGAAATTATAGGATTAGATCGGGCTTATTTTGGAGGTTTGACTAAAAAAGATCTTAAAATGCTTAAAGACAGATATAGTATAGGTAAAACAGATGAAAAACTAAGGCAAATTTGGAAGCTAACTGCTCTTGACAACAATAGTAATTCAGGCTCCTCAAGATCTAATTCTTCATCTCTAAGAGATGGTATCACTAAAATCAAATAAAGACACAACTCCACTCTCAGTTCTAGATTCAATTATGCAAACGAATTATAGGTACTTAATCTTGATGATAATCAAAAATGATTGAGTCTCAAACATTCCAATTCCAATAATTCAAATATAAATAGTATAATATAGTAAAGTTAATTTCATAATAAACTTGCTCTATATTTCACTAGAGTTTTAACATTTTCATTAAAATTTGTGGCTTATATTCTACAATTCTATTTCTGCTTTTACTGATAGATTCAATGTAATGGGGTTTTGGGGTTTTGGGG